CCGATGTGGGCCTCGATCCCAGGACCCTGGGATCATGACCTGAGCCAAAGGCAGATGCTTAACCGACTGAGCCACCCAGGTGCCCCTAGAAATACATTTTAAATAATATTTTCCAGTGATATGTTTTAGTTGATGAGCTATGTTTGGGAATTATTGTCCTTGAAACCTCAGGTACTCTTCTCCTAAATATGGTAGGTATCACTTACCATTCAGCAGGGAAATTAACAGAAGTTCCAGTTTATATTCTTAGATTATAATCTTTACCAAAGCCCAAGTGAAATGTGAAAAAAGAAAAGCACCTTTCATGATGTCCCAAATCTGACAGAAATTCATCTGCCTGTCTTTGGAGTACATTTCCTTCTAAATTCTTTAATTTCTTCAATTCACTTTGTAGAAAAAACCAGAGCTCTTTAGCTCCATTTTCAATCCTCCTCCTTAGGATTTCATGATCCTTCCCCAGACCTGCAGTCAAAGAATAAATAGTATCAATATTCCCAACATTTTGATGAAAGAAAGTCTTTAATTATTTGTGGTAGTATCAACATATTAAAGAGGAAAAACACTGCATAATCACCTACCATTTCTAGTTTGTTTCTTATAATTTTCAATCTGTTCTTTGGCCTTCAAAAGCTGTTCTTCTAAAGCACGAACCCTTCCTGAAGCTGGCCCCTGATCAATGGGACCTTCTGGTATCCTGTAGTTCAAAAAAGAAAATGTAAACATTTAGCTTATAAATTATGCAACAAAATTAAAGCTTACTTTGCTACAACATATTTCTTGGTAACTCTAGAAGTCACAAACCATATATTAGAAGTACAAAATAAAATTTTCTCTCCAAAGGTGTAGGATAAAGCATAAACAATGGAATGATACTGAACAAAAACAGAAAAAATAATCTAGCTCAGAGATCTATGATCTTCTAGGAATAAAGGAATCTTTAGAACTGTGTCCTAAAAACTCTCATCATATTACTTAGAAAAACACCATCAGTAGCAAAGTGGTCAATTCTTCATTAGTGTCAAGAGCAACAAAGGTGAAGGACAGGGTGACAAAAAGGCTTAAGGGAAATAAGAAAGCATGTATCTGAACATGTGCCTGTGCTCAAATAGCAAATACAAATTATTTCTGAATTAACCACAGTATCAGGCTATGTAAATCTGTGCTCCAATTCATGAACTCATGACCTTAGATTACTAAGCACTGGTTTTATAGAAGGGTAAGACAAGACTAGGAGATGAAGTATATCAGGAAAAAAACCTGAAGATTAATGTCCTGTTTGTTTCCATCAGAAATGAAAAATACCAGTCAACAACATAAAATGTTGGAACATAGCAGAGGAACTCCAGGATCTCTTGTTTATATTATCAACCTATCTGTACAACTTACAAACAGGACTTGTTCTTAACATGTTTTGTTTTTATATGACTTTGGCAATATTCTGTACTCCATTTTAGCCATAAAAGACATCTACATCCCAATCCTGGAACCTATAAATGCTACGTTATATGGCAAAAGAAACTTTAAATATGTGATTAATTAAGTTAAGGATCTTGAGATGGGGGGGGTAAGATATCATCCTGGATTATCCAGGTGGGCCCTAACTGTAATCACAAAGGTTCTTATAAGAGGGAGATTTTGCTGTAAAAGAGGAGAAGATGGTGTGGCTATTAGCTTTAAAGATGGAGGGTGGGGTCATGAGCAACAAATATGAGGAATGCAACTTTAGAAGCCCGGAAAAGCAAGGGAACAGATTCTCCCCTAGAGTTTCCCAGAGGAAATATGGCCCTGCTGACACTTCGGTTTTGGCCCAGTAAAACTCACTTCAGACTTCCAGCTCCCAAACTGTAAGAGAATAAATTTCTATTGTTTTGAGCCACAAAGTCTGTGGTATCTGTTACAGCAGCAACAGAAAACTAACACACATACACATATACATTCATACATCCATCTGTATATATACATTTGCGTAATTATTGTGAAGATTAAATAATGGCTCATTTTTCTTCCAAAATCTATAAAAGTACTTAGCACAATATTTGGCAATAAACTTTCAGGACTATTGTATCTGGGCTCAGTCATTTTAGAGATGAGCTGTAATCTCAAAATATCTGGGGTATCCTTATCACAATCATTTTAAGGAAACAATTTTTAAAATATACTTGGCAGAACTTAAATTCAGATGTCAACTCAGTCATTTGATGCAAAGACTCCAATACAGATTTCTTATTCCTTTTCGAACACTTTTTTATATAGCAGAGGAAGCCAAATTAACTATTACTTACCTATACCACTTCAGAATACATGTTTAGTAAAGAAGCTCTTGGTATAGCTCTACCAGAGTAAATGAGGTATTCTGTAATTGTATGCATTAACATTGAACAGCAGCATGAAAAATAACGATTCTCTAACCATGAGTATCCCAGGCTACAAAATTTGAATTACAAAGCCTTCATTTGTATACATATAAAGTGAATAATGATAAAATATATAGAGTTGTTAGGTGCACAATTACCCAATTTATAAGCTCAAATGTGCATACATTCATAAATGAGGCATTTCCTGGTATATAATTTTTAAAATTTGGCTTTTAATCTCTTTCTGAATTAGATGGCTGATTTCTAGGAAATAATTTGAAAACAGAATAAAACTACTACCTCTTGGAATTTATTTTGACAGCAATATGCCATAGGACAAGAATGTCCTTTTCCAGAACATACCTTAACGATAGAAAATTTCAGACAATACAAAGATATGTCTAGGTTCTCCTTTTTATCTCATTTCTTCATATATTGATGGAAAAACATTAGTGTAAAATAGGTAAGAAAAAACAGCATAAAATCATTTCAGATTTCCATTAAGTACTAAATCCAATTTAATTTTAATAAAACATACATGAATTAGTAATTTATATTACATTATAATATACAATAATCTAATCCAACTGTGGATACACTGTAGATAAAAGTAATGGAGAAGCCAGTGTAAAAAAAGTACACAATAAGGACTATTCTTTCCAAAACCCATCCAGAAAAGAGTCAATCTGCAAGGACATTACCTGTATATTTGGGATTTGAGGGTTTTTTTTTTTTTTAAATCATACTCACTATACAAAAGATATATAGGACATCTTCTGGCCAAGATGAAGCAACAGAGATTAAATTTACCATAATTCCTGAAACAAGTGAAAACCCAGACAAAACGTATTTAACAATGGTTTAATAAAACTGGTATCAGGAGACCGCCACTAGAAAGATAGCAAAATAGGTGGTTCCCAACTTCGGTCCCCTTCAGGGAAAGGGCAACTAGCAACTATCTAAAGACAAGATATTTGTGAAGTTCCCAGAATATGGTGGTGAGGCTGAAGCATTCACTTGGGCCACAAAACCCGAGAAAAACCTCATTAGAATAAGGTAAGAGGAGCAGTTTCACTATGACTGCATTGTTCCTCCCCCAGGTCAGTGCAGTGCTCACTACAGTTTCTCCAGTGAGAAAAGGAAGAGTGCAAGGTGGACATCAAGCTTCCCTAGCATCCCTGATGCCTCCTGGGAGCTCCACTTAAGCAATGCCTCACAGAGACTACTGTGAGAATCAGCTACAGTTAGAGAAGGGGAAAGGGACCCATAGCAACAAGCGTGCAGATCTTGGCCAACAGCATTCCTGTTAGTTGTGGGGCCTGGGCAGAGATCCCAGACCCTGGCTCTGATCATTTGCAGAGCTGAGCTAGTGCCTCCAACTGGCCAGGGAGCTTAAATGGCAGTTCTTCTTGGTTTGGGTCCCCAGCCAAAGGGATACCTTGGTGAGGAGCCCCACCTACACAAGAAGCAAGTCAGCAGCCCTGATCAAATGCTGAGCATAGCCTCCAGCCCCACTTAAGCAGGAAGCCTGCCCTAAGCTGCTGGGCCTATGCAGCACATCCTATGGCCCACTAAAGCAGAGAAACAAGTCACTGGCCACACCTAACTGCTGGGCATAGTCTCCAGTCCCACCCAAAAGAGAAGACTGACCAAAGATGCCAGGCAGCCATGGGCAGCATACGATACATCCTATGGCCTGCCTAGGCAGTGAAGCAAGTCAGTAGCCCCATCAAACGTCTAAGTAATAGCCTCCATAGCCTCCAGCAGCTCCTGACTGGGAATCCTGGCCAGGGATCCCAGGCAGCCACACAGCCCATTCTACAGTTCCATTCAGGTAGGGAGCCAACCCCAGCAGCACCACCCTACTGTTGAGCATAGCTTCCAGCTCTGGAGCTCAACCTGACAGCTCTATCCAACAGCACAGACAGCCTACAGCCCCATCCAATTGCTGGGCATAGCTTGCAGACTGACCCAGACAGAATACAGAACCAGTCACCCCACCCAATCACAAAGTATAGCCTGTGGCTCCACCAGACCAATGAGCCCAGAAGGTAACCCTGCCTGACCATGGAGCACAGCCTCCAGTCCCATCCAACTGTGGGGTACAGCTGCTAGTCATTCCCAACCAGGAAGCCCAGCAAGAGACACTGTCAAACAGCAGAGCACAGCCAGTAGCCTGCTCAATTGTAGAGCTTAGCCTGCAGCCCCATCCAACTTGGGGTACAGCCTACAGCCCCATCTGATCAAGGAGCACAGCCTGAGTTCCCATCTGGTTGCAAAGCCCTGTGTATGGCCTTAATTGAATGTAGAGTCCAGCCAGTGGCACCATCAAGCCAGGGGGCACAGCTTGGGGACTCAATTGACTAGAGGCAAATTTGGAGTTCAACATGTGGCCTTACGCAATCGCAGAGGGCAACCAGCAATAGCACCCTGCCAGAAAACATAACCTGCAACCTGTCCAACCATATGTGATTGCAAAGCCCAGCAAGTAGCTCTGCCTGAACACAGACACAAGCCAGCAGTTATGCTTGAATGCAGAGCCCAGCCATCAGACCCACCTGACTGCAGAACAGTGGCAGTTCCCCCCCCACCAACCTCAGAGGCACAGACGCTGGCCCCACCCAACTAGAGACCCTGATGGCACACACTGCTTGCCAGAAGCTGCTAGCAGCTGCCTGCAGAACCCTCAGCTGAGCTGAATGGTGAAGGTCTTTCCCTGCCAAAATAAACCTACAATGGCTGGAAAAGAAACTGTTTCCTCAAATGAGCAAATACCAACATAAGATTATGAGGATCAGGAAGAATCAAGTAAACATGACACCACCAAAAGAAACTAATAAAGCTCTAATAACTAACCTTAAAGAAATAAAGATCTAAAAAAATAAATAATTAAAAATTTAAAAAAGGATCTATTAACTATATAAAAAAGAATTTAGAACAATCCTTTTAAAGGAATTTGGTAACTACAAGATAATACAGATAGGCAACTAAACAAAATTAGGAAAACAATACATGAACAAAATGGAAGGTTCACCAAAAAACAGAAACCATAAAAAAAAATAAAATAAAACAAAAAAGCAATTCTAGGGCTGGAAAATACAATAACGGAACTGAAGAATTCAATAGAGAGCTTCAACAATACATCTGACCAAGCAGCAGAAAAAATTTGTGAATCTGAAACAGTCATTTGAAATTATCCAGTTAAAGGAGCAAGAAGAAAAAAATTTAGAAAGTGAAAAAGACTGTATGAATTATGGGATTCCATAAGAGAAACAATCTATAATTATTGGAGTCCCAGAAGGAAAAGAGAAGGAGAAAGGGGCAGAAAGCTTATTTAAAG